GATGATGATAATCGGAAGGGTAGACGATGATGGTTTCGTGAAGAGATATCTGGAGATATCTATAGAGATGCATATGCTGTGTGTATATATCTTCGTGAAGATGATGATGAGATGCATGTGTTGTGTGTATATCTCTTCGTGAAGATGATGAAGAGATGTATACGCTGTGTATTGAAGAAAGGGTGTTATACGGGGTTAAAATGGTAAACTGGTAATAAGTTGATTTTCATAAGTCAAGAAAGATTAACTTATCAAAAACTGCTTATTACCGGTTTGGCACTGGTATAAGCAGTTTTTTTTCCTTATCCAAACACTAAAAAATAGCTTATCTCCGGTGTCAGACTGAAATAAGTCAAAAAACCACTTTTAAAAGCAATCCCAAACACCCCCTAAGTCTAGGCTACTTAATTATGTTGGTCTCAACCATCGGATTTGGATATATCACGTATCGGACCATTCTCTTTAAACAGTTGGTTGTCATCATAACTTTCATAAGATCTAATCTGATAGATGCTTCTATCGGATAAAGGGTTCCATTTGACCAACTCAAAGCTTATCTGAAGCACCTTCGTAATGTTCTATAGCTGGTAAATACGATATGTAGTTTACATATCAGATAGAGAAAAAGATAGGATTTTTACTTGTAAAAATCTTACAACTATTTGTAATGATCCAAGAGAAAAAACCTTCAAAAAACCGAAGACTAGTTAAAGTGAGGTCAAGATCATAAACAAAGCGGATTGGTTTGTCATCTAACCAAAAGAAGATCAACACAAGATACAAGTCAACTAGAAGTCTAACAAATATTATTGCAAGCCGAATCTTGAAATACAAACTTTGCTAGCAAGTTTGGTTCACCAAGTCACTTGCTTCCTCTTTGATATAAGCACATGTACAACATGTCAGCCAAGCACAAAAGCAACATTGTATTGGTATTTTGCTTACTTTACTGTTCCCTCAGCGTATCTAAAGATAGAGTAAGTTAACAAAGTGTCTACATCAAGCTTAAATGTTGAAATGAAGAATAATGGGATGCATGGATCAACCAATCAGAAGAAGACACACATTAGAGTTGGACATGATGCATTTAATTCAATGATGCTATAAAAGGTCACTTCTTTGCCATTCAATGCAACTCACCCATTTTCCAAAGGACATCCTTGCGAATGTTTCTGAAGTAAAATCGATGTCATCTAAAAACTGTTTAGTTCTTCGGATCTGAAAGAGAACCTTCTCCCCCCCTCCCCTCCTCTTTCAGTTTAGCAAATTTTTCAAAGTCATATTATTTAAGATCACAAGTCTTACTTTCATAACTTCTGCAAAAAATCTATAAATTTTTGTTTTTAGGCAAAATATAGAAGAAAGAATTAGAAAGTGAAAATTTGTTATGTTTGTATTCAACTCCCTTCTACAAACACTTCATTGTATAAGTCGTCACTTTCCAGAACTAACAAATTAATTCTCTTATAATTTATTTTCAACAAGTTAATCCATGAGACTAATGGAGCTTTTGGTTCTCAAAATGAAATTTAGTGGAATTGGAATTCATTAAAGAAATTTGACTATAAGGTGGCGTTTGGTTCGTAGAATGTTTTTAGATGGAATGAAATCTGTTAAAGAAATTTGACTTTGAATGAATTAGAATGAAATGTTGTGAGGAATGGAATATGTCTGTTTGGTCAGAGAATGTAACTTTGCAATTGGAATGAAATATTGGTGAATGACCAAAATGCCTTTTTTGAAAATTTAAATTTTTTAAAAACTAAAAATACTTTAATGAATAATTATTTAATATGTAAAACAATATAAAATACACAACCCAAATATAACCATAAGTCAAACGACATTACTAAATCAAAGGTGGTCGGCGGTGGTGGTCCACAGTGGTTTAGATCAGTGGTAGTCTCCAATGGTTCAAATGACGGTGGTCGACAGTGGTTCAGATCAATGATGGTCCGTAGTGGTTCAGATTGGTGGCAATGGTGGTGGTTCAGATCGATGGTTGTTCAAATATTTGGTGGTCGGCGGTGCCCGACGTTGATTCAAATTGGTGGTAGTCGGGAATGGTTCAGATCGAGGATGATATGTGGTGCTTTAGGTGGCATGGTCGAATTTGGATAAGATATGGGGTGGTTCAGATCGGTGCTTTAGATCGGTGATGGTCGGTGGTGGTTTAAATCGACGGTGGCCAGCGGTGATTCAGATCTGTAGTAGTTGGTGGTGGTTCAGATCGATGGTGGTCTGTGGTGGTTCAGATGGCGATGGTCAATAGTAGGTAAGATCGGTGGTGGTCCATGGTGGTTCAAATTAACGGTGGTTTAGAGACGGTGGATCAAAATCGGTGGTGGTTCAAATCAGCGGTAGCCGACGGTGGTTCAGATCGGTGATAGTCGGTGGTGGTTCATATGGCAATGGTCGGCAGCGGTTCTGATGGCAGTGGTCGGTGGTGATTTAGATCGACGATGGTCGAAGATAGTCGATGATGGTCATATTGGATTTTATGAAAGTAAGATATATTGGGTTAAAAGCATATTTGGTATTATGAAAATAGAGAATTTCATTCAATCAAAATTCCATGTAGTTGCTAAAATGTAACTCCCCCGTCCCGCATGGTAAAAGACGAGAGATGCCACAATTGATTCATAAAAACAACGCATTATATAAAACAGAGCAGCTAATAAAATTTACCAAAAGATAATTACATAACCACATACAGAGATAACATGTCTCAAAATACGGTCCCAAAATACCAGTATATCTACATTAGTCATCAAAAGTATGACATAATGGGTTGTCTTCAATATTGTCATCTCCGTAGCTCTCATCCCAAAATCTTTGTTAAGTCATGTACCTGCCGAGGACAGGAAAATCTAGCTGAGCTTAATGCTCAGTGAACGGATAATAATAACTAAACAATGAATATGAGATAACAAGTTTAAAAGCAATAACGCTAAGTGATAATCCAAAAGAAAGTCAAAATGCCCCGAAGGCATGCCAAAGGTCCGAAGACCAAACCGCATCACGAGGACACGTTGTTCCGAAAGGAT